ATACTAAACCGAGGAAAGGCGTAAAATCAGAGATTTGTCCATTTCATTTCAAACGCGTTGATACAGTTTGCATTAGGATTCCTATGCCATGAACAATAATTTTCGCATTTAGAATTAACACATGAAGCAAACAAATCCATATCAAACTTGCTAAATGTCTTTGTAACCTTCGAGAAAGCCGACAGGATTAGCTTCCACTCGGTGTCTAGCTTATTTATCCTCGAAGTATATTCAGCTTTATAAGCCTCAATGTTTTTCCTGGACAAAGTATATGAGGCGACTCTCAATAGCCTCTGAGCACGAGCGTGACATGGTAGACTGCGGTCCGCCACGCTAGAGGTCTCGAGTTCGATTCCCGACAGAATCAGAACAATTTTCATAGGCTCCATAAGCTCCTCTTTGGTGATCTGGCAAACCACCAAAGAGTATCCATGCCACGAGAACTTTTCTACAAAAATCTACTATTCGAAACCGGCGTTTCAACTGTAGGTCCTGTATGCATGTGTATAATCTGCGTGCGCACCATATGCATACGTGAGAGAAAGGTTTAGGCCCTAGGTCTAGGCCCGACTCCGGGCTGTAGCGTCATTGATGATAATGATCCATAGCATTCTTTTTTCACATCAACTCCATATATTATACGCTGTTCTACTTAATTTAGGAAATTTAACGCCGCCCATCTTATTCACATATGTTATAGTTGTTGTATTATCTACTTTTTATAATAGTTTGCAACTTGTCAAATCTGAAGCGAACACCTTTAAGCCCTTAAGGGCCGCCTGTAACTTTAAATAATTGATATGTTCTTGGCTCACATTCTGATCCCAGATTCCCAGATAAGCTATCTCGCCGTCGCAGCACGCTTTTCAACCAGTATTTGAAACGCTTAAAAAAATTATCTTTTTACATGACATTTGTCTTACTGGATTGGAAGCCATTCCTACATTGTGTGTGACATTGCCACCAATCAAATTTGGATTTAGAAACGGTGATATTCGCATTATCGTGTCAAAGTTTCCTCCGGATTGTAAAAGGGCTATGTAAATCTGGCGTTTGAAGAGTTTCACGTGGAAACTACCATACGACACCGCTGGACATGCAGCCGAAATTTTCCTAACGTAATATAAAAATTTCCTGATCAAGCACTTAGATAAAGTTTTAGCATTTAATATTAATTTAGTAATATGATCTCTTTTATCTCTTTTAACCAGTTCAAGCGTCATCGTTTCTGTGTTGAGAACAAATCCCAAAAACTGATATGATGTTTCTGGGCATAAGTGGCTTTTAGTTTCATTGATAACAAAGCCTGATGATTCTAATAACTGGCGAGGTCTCGTAATGTTTATTTCATATTCGAATTTGTCTTTACCAAAGAGGAATATGTCGTCCAAATATCCGACTGATAATAGTCCTTGTTTTCTTAAATAACTTAGCACCGGCTTCAATATTTTTGTACACCCATGATGCTGTACTTAAGCCAAATGGAAAACAAGTAAATTTCAAGGTTTTTGATTGTTCCACAAAAAACGAAAATATTTACAACAATTTTTATTAAGGGGTATGGCTACAGTAGCGGGCGTAAAATGAGGCACATATTCAATATTTTTTTTTTATATGAAAAATTTATTTATTCTAAAAAATAATTGTAGATATTGTTAATATACATCTAAAAGATATTTAAAAAAATTTTTTTTTTAACAAAATGGCCTGCATTTTTTGCTAGGGTGTACAAACGCTCTATATCTTTTTGAACAAGCGCTCCGCGGCCTTACAAATGGCACTTCCAATTTTTGATCTGGAACAAAAAAAAAAAGTGGTCGTTATTTAGCATGAAAATATCTATAGAAGTAACCATGGATATAAAAAAATATTAATAAAAAAAAATGGTGACAATTTGAAGTTAAAAGTACAAATTTCGATGAAAAAAATCGTTCTAAAATGGTCATAAAATGACAAATTTTTCATCAATCAAAAATTCCGTAGGTACTTCTATGCGAAATCATATTATAAAGATGCTGTCAAAATTTGAAGTCGATGGGATAAAAATTGATCGCGTAGTTTATAAGGCCAATTTGAAAAATGTGGTTTCGAGAAAAACGCGTTTAAAGTTTTGCATGCAATTATTTTGTTGTTAAAGTTGAATTTTGTAACAAAAAAAATTTTTACCATTAGTCTGCAATACCAGCTCCATAAAGTTGACTTTCTATAGCAATATTTTCCTCATCTTTTGATTTTCTAACCGATTGTATGTTGGCGCGCGCAATCTTTGCTACTTCGCTCATTGATCGTTTAGCCTGATCGACTTGCAAAGCATCAACTTCTAAGCAAAAATTATAGCAGTTCGGTCCTATTGACAAATTTAAGACTTTCATAATGTTCATAACACTACTGATACCATCGTTAAATGTACAAACAACAATATCTGTAGCTATATCTAAAACCATTTTACCGCTGGAAAAGTTTTTAGGTGCCAAGTTCCAGACCGTAGAATTAAAACTTTCATTACTGTTTTGAGTGTAAGCTCCCAAACAACTAGTAAGTAAATCATCGTTTGTTAATTCTTCATAAATGGGTTGAATAGCTTTAAAAACTTCCTCATTTAGCGGCTTCTTATGGCTGTAAGAAGCGAGAATATTCGTAGCTTTTGCACTCTGCCATGTACACCATGAATCAGCATCAGACGGGCATCGATTGTGTTGCGGTTTTTCGTCGGTTGAAAGTTTATGGTAAAGAGTAGCCCATATTTCTTTTTTCATGTTGTTAATATTGTCTGAGTTTCTTTTTATTGCTAATCCATAGTACAAACTGAGTTCGTCAATTAATTTACCGGTAAGCTTTCCTGCGCCGCCAAATCCTTTAGTTTTTTTTTTTAAATTACGTAGTCTTGAACCCATTCTTTTCTGGACTTGCCCAACACACTCTTTTTTTTTTACAATCTGATCTCCATAAGGTTGTGCATCTACAATTCCCTTATAAGTTTTACTGTCACCGTCGCCGATGTACGAGACATACTTAACATTATACAATTCCTCAGAGCGCTTAAACTTCTCGACCACAGAATCAACCTCCATTTTTCCAGCGGAGCCTTCGTGATTAGATTTACAAGTTTCTTTATGCGTAATATACCACTCATCATACTCTGCAGTATCTTCCTGTCCTTTCCAGTTATCACATGCCTTACAATATCTTGATTTTACTTCAACATCTATAACTTTTCTCGTGAACCATCCGATTAGAGATGTTAAGCCATAAAGAAATGAAAATCCTCTTTTGCGCAAAGAGCCATCCCCTGAAACAGTAATTCCTAAGTTCTGTCCTTCTTTTGACGACATTTCTTTTTCTTCTGTAACAGCCTTTTGCATACTAATGGTGCGCACAGCTTTCGTTGCTATAGCAATAGTGTCATTTACTTTATCGTAAAAGAGTGGTATATTGGATGGGGCAAATCCATAAAAGCGCAAAACTTTTTGATACCATTTAAACCAACACCCAATAATCGCATAGCTAATGTTATTCTGCGATTAATTTCATAACCATTTTTTATATAAGGACAATTAGGTATTGTTGTATTTTCACACGCGTTACATGAAACAACGATCTTAAAACCTAATCCACGCGCACTTGTCTCAGTAAATTTAATGTTATTTCCACACTTTTTACAAACAACCACTTCAGAAATTGCACTCATAACT